GGGGAGAAGAAGGGAAAAAAAATAAAATCTTTAAGAGAAAAAAAAGGAAAAAGAATAAATGTTTCCAATTTTGACCAGAGCTAACAGATGAAGAATTTATTCAATTTGAAGGTAGTTCATACAGCTTGAATAAACTGAGCCCAATTCACTTAGCAGTTCTCATCCGTGGGCATCTTGATCCACTGGTATGTTGAATTCAGTTTTACATGTGGCATGTGTTGGTAATTTATTGCTAATATGAAAGTATTAGAGTTTGAAATTTTATTTACTTAAGCAAATGAGACAGATTGAAGGTGAGCCCTATGATGCCCTTTGAGCCAGGCTTTGTTCTAAGAACTCCAAAATCCCTTCTTGAGTAAGAAGGAAAGGAATCAAATGACAGCCCATTTAATTTGCCATAGTCTATAGCAAACTACCTTACATACATATTGTAATTAGTTGTGAAAATTACAAATTATTATTATAATGCTTTTCATGCTTGTAGTCATTTTGGGGTTTCGTCAAAATGCAGATTTGTTAATGAGATTGTGCTCTGCAAGGGCATGATATCCGTTGTGTGTGTCATCATGGGGAAAAAATGTTGGGAAACACCGGGCTAGAACAGGCCTTAATAAACCCCTGCAAGGGCTGCCCTAGTAACCTACGTATCCATCAGAACTAACTTGAAAGTGACACTCCAACTCAAACTGGTTTAAGCAAAAACAGGACTTTGTTGGGTCGGCTCTGTGGCCAAGTGATTAAGTTTGCATGCTCTGCTTCAGCGGCCCAGGGTTCACTGACGCGGACCTGGCACTGGTCATCAGGCCATGCTGAGGCGGTGTCCCACATGCCACAACTAGAAGGACCCACAACTAAAATATACAACTATGTACTGGGGGGTCTTTGGGGAGAAGAAGGAAAAATTTTAAAAAAAAGAATTGTCAGCCTAAAAGAATGCATTGATTCTTTAAAAAAACAAAACAAAACGGGAATTTGTTGACTTTTATAACTGAAAAGACCAGGGTTAGAGCTGATCTCAGATGTGGCTGTAATCAGGGGTCAAACATTCTCTATCTCTCAGCTCTGCTCTCCTTCATATTGACTTCATCCTCAGGCCACATGGTGGCAAGGTGGCTGCCAGCAACTCTCTCGTGCATCCTTTGAGACTCCAGTCCAGTGGGAAAGAGAGAGTCTCTTTTCTAGAAGCTCCCTCAAAAGTGTGCTGGGATTCACTCTGATTGATCTCCCCTTGAATCAATTAATCACTGTTACCAGCAAGACACCACGTGCTGATTGCCTTAGACATGGGTCACATGCTCTGCCTCTGGATGGGAGGTTGTGAAGGTCCAGTTGGACCACATGGGTAGAGTATGTGAGAGATGAGCCCTTCCAAACCAAGATGGACCCGTTATAGAGAGTGGATGCTAGAAAGGCAATCAAGAAATATCCACTTCACGCCAAGTGACCATCTTTTTATTTTTTTTAAGATTGGCACCTGGGCTAACAACTGATGCCAATCTTTTTTTTTTTTTTTTCTGCTTTATCTCCCCAACCAGGTCTCACCTTTGTCCCCTTCCTTCAGGTGGGCTTTGCTTGGCCACAGGTTTACCTCTTGTACTAGAGGAAATATCCGGCTTTCTGATAGTATCATTTAGGAATGCATTCTGTAGTTTAATAGAAAACCCTACTGCATTGATTTAAACAGATGGGTGATGAAACGATGAAAGATCAAGATGACAACAAAGAGTATGCTACACAGGACACCTAGTCTTCTTTTTTGCCCATTTAAAAATCTTTCACAATGTTTCCGGACAGAAGGGATGCCCTCCTCAGCATCTACCTATAGCGCATTAACCGGAACTGTGTCACACAGCCACCTTCACTGCAAGGGAGACTAAGTAATCACATATCTTTAGCTGGATCTGGTGATGGACCACTGCTATCTCAAGCGAAATAGGATTCTATTAATAAGGAAGTCTGCCTCATCTATTCACCCATTTGATGTGTTAAAGCCACTAGATTTTTAAATAATTTTCAGCACATGTGAGTATGAGGACGTCTGTAGTGGACATCTGCTGTTTTTGATACTTCAGCATCATTCCCTCTTCTGGTCATAGTGCCTCAAATTTCCTTTGAGATGTTCCCTGTCCCACTCTCTAAACCCAGCTCCAAAGGTAGACAGTTGACTCAGGGCTTGTTTAGTTATGGTGACTGATTTAGGGTGGGACCTGACTGGGGCCGGGCCAATCAGATTCAACTTTTGGATTTTCTTGGAACAAAACTGTAACTTACACGAAAAAATAGTAATACTTACGTCTGAAAGATATTTAGTCAATTTCCTGACAATGCTTGGTGCACAAGTGGATTCCTGTATCCTTTGCAATAATTCTGCTGGCTCTCAATGAGTCTATGGCTTCCTGATAAGAAACCACCATGACATTTCTTTATTTACTATGTCGTTCCTCTTTTTAGAATCTGAGAGCTGATAGGCTGTGGTATGTGCTAGGAAGTGCAAATCTAGGTTTGAAGGCCAGTAGTGTCAGGCAGAGCCCACCCAGTAAACAGAACTCCATCTAAGTATTTAAAGTAGAGGAGAATTTCATTTAGAGGATTGGCTACAACGGGGAGTTGAACTGTTGAAAAGCTAAACAGAGGTGGTGAGGCAACTCAGAGATTAGCAGCAGCAAGTAGCCATCAGTCACCACCACTAGGCTAGAGACTAGATACTTCCTGGAAGGGGGCTATGTTACAGGAGCCCAGTGGCTGGGATCCCCTAATGACGCAGAGGGAGAACCAGCTACTGCCAGAGATGCTACTCAAGGGGGCGAGATGGAGTGGCTGGGAAAGGGGCGGCTCCCATTGCTGTCTCCCATTGGCTGAGCTTAGCTGGAAGCTCCGGAACCAGGAAGCCTGAGAATACAGTCTATCGAGTCAGAACCCGCTTCTCTACAAAGCAGAGCAGAAAAAGGGCGAGGAACGGAAAAAGGGAAAGGGTGAAGATTGGGTCTACTGTGAAGGACTGGCCATCTATCCATATTTCATCACATCTAAGATGCCATTGATTGTAAGATGCACCATTATTTTATGCATCACCAAGAAAGAAAAATGCTTCCAATTAAACTATAATGCAACACTAAGACTCTGTCCACTGAAATACATCTTGATATGAGAGATGGTAATATGTGGAAAATAGAGGCCACCCGTGGCCAAGTGGTTAAGTTTGTGCACTTTGCTTCTGTGGCCCAGGGTTCACCCGTTAGGATCCTGGGAGCAGACGTACACACCTGTCATCAAGCCATGCTGTGGTGGCATCTCAATAAAGGAACTAGAGTGACCTTCAGCTAGGGTATACAACTACGTACTGGGGCTTTGGGGGGAAAAAAAAAGAGGAAGATTGGCAACAGATGTTAGCTCAGGGCCAATCTATCTCACACACATACAAAAAAGTGAAAAATGTGAACTTTTTTTCTCTTCTTCTTTTTCTTCCCAAAGCCCCCCAGTAAATAGTTGAATATTCTAGTTGTAGGTCCTTCTGGCTCTGCTATGTGGGATGCCGCCTCAGCACAGCTTGATGAGCGGTGTTAGGTTGGCACCCAGGATCTGAACCAGGAAAACCCTGGGCCACCCAAGTGGAGCACACGAACTTAACCACTCAGCCACAGGGTGGCCCCTGATATGTGTCTTAAGATCAATAAAATATGCTATTAGCTGTGTAATCTTAAGCATATGTGAACTTAATTCATTTCCACCTTTGAGCTTTGATTTTACCATCTGGAAACTAGAGACAATACCTTCTTCACAGGGTTTCTATGAGGATTAAATCGGCTAATATGTCTAAGACTGTTAAGTTTAGTGAGAGTGGGGACTTTGTCTTTTATTCACTGTATCCGCAGGGCCTAGCACAGTGCCTGGTGCATAGTAGGAACCCAAGAAAGTTTTATGGAATGAATCCACCTGGACTTTATCCCCAAATGGGCAGGTTCTTGGCAGATAGTGGGAGGTGGGTGTCAATAAATGGAGGCTGTTATTATTAGAATCAAACAGGCTTGGGAACAAGATCTTTTTTCACTAATGTCATGTAGAATTGCTCTTCTGTGAAGGGGGAACTCTTTAAGAAAGATGTCAGAGTGGAGGCAACAGTCTCTAGTGGAAAAGATTATTTCAGATGGCTTCCTGCCCACACACAGTAAGTTGTGAGCAGAAAATTTAAGAGTGATAGTGGTGGTGGCAAATGGAATTGGCAGGGAAGGAGAGGAATGAGGCAGGTGTGAGTGGAGGATAAAGCAAGGCAGAAAAGAAGAACCTCCACCACCTACGAAGCACTTTTTGTCATCATTTCCCTAACCCTCATAGCCCTGCAAGTGTTGTAGGGACTCAGGCTGAATATGGACATGAAGGGATTTTCCCAAATGAGACAACTAGATGGAAGCAAAGCTAATGTACACCGCGTGGTCACATGTACCAGACTCCAGCCTCCTGAGAGCAAGCCTGAGATGGGAGAGATTAATTCCAATTTACAACACACGGAATGATAGATAGGTAAACACGAAGAAGCTGATGAAAATAGTTGTTAGGGCGGTGAGACTGTAAACGATGAGAAAAATTTAAATAGCGTTGAAATTTTCTTTTCAAAAATAATTCCGCCAATGTAGGGAACGGTGTTGAAATGAAACAAAACGCCCATTCCAGCTGTAATCTCCCGGCGGGGGAGTGACTTATCCACCAGACTAAAGGTTCGTCAGGACTCCAGGTTGCAACCCAGAGTCCGGGTCAATGTTCCCTGGCTCATTAATAGGGAGTCATTGCTGACTCAAGCGTCCGTCTCCGCTACCCAATCAGCGTCCTCTTCCACGCGCCAACCGCTGCCCACCCACCCATCCTCTTCCACGGGTAACGAGCACCGCCTACCGGCTGTCAGCCTCTCGACTGCTTGGCTCCGCCCCCGAGCGGAATGCGCATGCTCCCCAATGCCTCTCCGCCCCCGCCTTCGGGCTTCTCGCGACAGCCGCCCAGCGGCAGCCTGAATCTCGCGAGAAGGACTTATTGTCTCGCGGGACCGCGGCTGGCAGACGGGCTCTCGGGCGGCCGTAGCCGGGGAAGAGGAGTTGCATGTGTCGCTTCAGCTGGCGGTAGTGGCGGGAGCGGAGGCGGCGGAGGCTGTGCGACCGCCTGGGTAATGACCCCTCGGGCCTCTCTCGCTTCCGACAAGCTCGTAGAGAACGTAGGGGAAGCTGAGGTGCCGCCTGGCGGAAGGGGGTCGGGCCGGGCGTCTCCACACCCCCGCCCACATGGGCCCCTCCGGGGTCCCCGGGATTGCCCCTTTGCCTCAGATCTGCCCTCACACCTGGCCGCCCTTGTCGCCTCAGTACTCTTACATTCTGCCCCATCCTGGCTCTTCTGCCCCCATTTTCTCTCCTCAGACTCTGGTCTCCCCGCCCCCTCCCACTCCCACCCCTGTTCCTGACTCCTGTGTCCCCCCCTTGGCATTTAGCTGCCCCCACACCCTGCACTCTGGGTACCACCTTCGTAGGCTTTTCCAGCCTGTCTTTCCAGCTGCTTTGTGGCCTTTCTCTGTTGCTGCAGTTTGCATGCCTTCCAGACCTTTTGCCCCGTCTCCACCGAAGTCATCCTCCCCATCCTTTTTCCCATTGCTTCCTCTTTCACTAGTGCCCTCCGCCCCCTATTCTTCGCGGTCCATTTGCTGAGAGTCTCACTGTCACCTGCTTCCCTGTAGACCTGTGGACCTGGTAAACGGTGTGCTCGGAATTGCTCATATTTTGTGAATCCTAATGCAGCTTGTAGCCTTCACTTAGCAACAGAGAATCGAAACAGATTTGGGATTGGGGGATTTCTAGTGGGAGGAGGTGAGACTACACCTGAAAACTGTTTCTCTGGGCTCTTGGTCCAAAATAGTCAAGATGTATTATTTACTAATTTTTAATTTTTTTTGTTGAGGTCATATTGGCTTATAACATTGTGTAAATTTCAGATGTACATTATTATGTATCAGTTTCTGTATATGCATCGTGTTCACCAATAGTCTAGTTTTTATCCATCACCGTACATATGTGCCCCTTTACCCCTTTCGCCCTTCCCCCAGAAGATGTGTTATTTTCCTTGCTTACAGGTTTGTGAGATGGCTGCTGACATTTCTGAATCTGGTGGGCATGACTGCAAAGGAGACCCAAGGAGCAATACCAAGTTAGATGCGGATTACCCACTTCGAGTCCTTTACTGTGGAGGCAAGTGTTGAAAGGCAGAAAATGGCTTTTATTCTCTGCATTTTTATGCGTTGTGATCATAGTGTCACATTTGGTACCTGTAATCTCTTTTTCATCTGTGTTTGTCATTTGGCAAAGCCTGAATTGGGAGGTGGGGAGATGATGAAGAGGACGCATGAGTTAACAGATTTTCCCCATCTGTGTGTGACTTGGGTCTTGCTGCTTGGCCTGGAGAAGCTTACAGTCCACTTGAAATAGAGATGTGCAAACAGATTATTTCAGCTGACTGTTACTTGCTAGTCCGGCTATTAGAGGAGGGCTTCTTGGAAGATCTCAAGTGTTAAGGGAAGATAGGGACAGGATGAGGAAGTGGGGAAGGGCATCCCAGACTAAGTGAACAGCTTTGCAAGAAAAAGCTTGAGGCATGTCTGTGGGAAAATAAGCAGCTTTGTATTAGGATAGCATGTAGAATAGGGAGGGAGTCAGTCAAGAGTGGAAGGTGATGAGGCTGAAGTGATGGGTAGAGGAACAGTCTTGGGAAAGTATTCTTGCTTTGACTAGTGAAATGTGTCTTAGGTTGAATCAGGATTTTTTTTCCTTTGGGTGTTTTCCTTCATTTTCAATTCCCTTTGGGTGTTTTTCTTCATTTTCAATACAGAAATATTTGTGAATTAGAAATATTCTAATTTATTAGCATCTTGGAAAGTTTCAGGAAAATTTGAAGATACAAGACAATAAAAGGGCAAGTAAATATTAATTTTTTTTAAAAAGTATTTTTAAGATATTTTAAAATATTAAAATATTTCTTTAAGTATTAAATTTTTGACCACTTACTATGTGCCTAGCAGTGTTTTGGGTTCTGGAGACTGAGTAGTGAATAAGTCAGAAAAGGTCCTTTTTCTCGTGGACCTTACATTCTGTGAGTGTCATAGAGACTTCATCTGGAGTTTAAGTGCTATAGAAGGAGACGTGATGTCACTGAGTTAAAAATTATATCAACTTATCACTTACTGAATGTCTTTGATAGTAAAATAAAATTAGTATAAAATACCTCAGTAAGAGAGTAGGCAGGGGAACTTTTTGTAGAGTTGATTGAGTTTTGTTATATTGGTCTTATTAGGTTATATTGTTTGCCTTTAGAGTCACAGTCCAGGGTTTGCATCCTGACTTCAGTGTTACCAGCTATGTGACCTTGGGCAGGTTACCTAATTTCACTAAGGGTTAGAGGTCTGTTTCTTAAAGTCTGTAAAATGAAGATGATGATTACATCTTAAATCAGAGGATTCCTGTAAAGCACCTGGTACATCAGCCAACACAACAACATAGTACAATAAGTGCTATTATTATTATTATTAGAAAAGCATACTAGTTTAGTATGGTTTATTCATCCTAGTTTGTTAGATGTAGTTAAGAGCTATTGTTTTTTGTACCCTATTTCGTCGAATCTAAGACTCCATATTTTATGTTCCACTAAGAAAGAAAAAATTGTTCGGTTGACATGCCGTAATTATAAAATGCATCCTTACAAAAATAAAAAAAAAATTTGGAATTGATGAAATACGGTATATAAAAATCATCCTGTTGAATTGCATATGTCACTCAAGGTGGCTTTTGAACAACTAAATATGCAGTTCACTCCATTGATAATTTGTGTCGACCAGAGGTCCCTAACCTTTTTGAGAAAGGATTATTTTGATTTCCTTCCCTGGTTTGTGTTAATATTCCAGGCACTAGGATGGGGAGAGGGTTACTTTTTCCTCAAGGAGTTTAAGATCTAGTTGTAGGAGAATCACTTAGGGAATATTAAATGCTAAATTAAATGATACTGAATCTGTGAATTAGGAGTTCAGGAAGGAGAGGGATCTTTTTTTCAGAAGGAAGTGGGAAATTTCCAAGGAAATGAGAAGCCTTAGGTAATAAGTAGAATTTGCAAGGAAAATTGAAGGAATTCATAAGAACAATGTGGTGGCAAGATTTAATATAGTTTCTTCATGGGAGAGGGGAAAGAAAGAGCAGAATGCTGGTTGGAGTATAGGGAGAAGCAATGGTAGGTAGGATGGGGTCATTTCCAGGGAGACATCTTGTCTTTAGGACTGAGACTTCAGACTCTGAAGTCAATCTGAGTTTGAATCCTGATCAGCCATTTACTTACTCACTGTGTGACCCTGGCCAGTTGCCTCATCCATGAAATGGATAACAGTAGAGCCTACTTCAGATGGCTCTCGAGAAGAAGAAATGAAATGATAGTCTCAAGGGCTCCACCTCCTAATACCATCACATTGGGTATTAGGTTTTCACCATGTGAATTTTGAGGGGACACAGACATTGAGAACAAAGCAGAAGGTTCCTTGGATGACGATGCATTGTTCTTCATCTTGCATCACGTCAGCAGCTACATAAAGTCAGGATGTGCCACTCTTAGTGATGTGAAGTTTGAAGATGGCTGCTAGATCTTTGTGTTGAAAAGCTACAGTTTACAAACAGTAAGTGATCTGTGGAGGGAAATTGACTTTAAGAGCAAATAACTGTGAACTTGGAACAATTGTCCAGATTTTCTCATTGTATTAGAATCGTGCTGAACTGAATATTATTCGAAATGGTGTACAAAGTTTTACAGCTTTGGTATTTGCTGTAATGGTATTTAACCTATAATTGTGTGTATATAAGTGTGGGTGGGTGTCTGTACCTACTAGTATTTGAACTTGAACTGTGAGGACTATAGAGCTCTGGTAATTAGGGAGAGCTTTAGTGGAATGACTCTAAACTTGAAATAAAGAGACACTAGATTCCAGTTTTCTTCTGCCGCATACCACCTTTGTCATTGGATGAGCTATTTAACCTTTTGTAGGGCATCTATAACATAGCGATGGTGGGGTGAGAAGGACGATCACTGTCGACTGGCTGGCACACAGCTGCCTTGCCTGTGTACATTGTGTAATCTAATTTAGTGGTTAAGAGCATGAGCTTCAGAAACAGACCAGGGTTCAAATCCTGTTCTAACCAGATGCAAGTGGGTTATTTATGCTAAGTCTCATTTTTCTCATCTGTAAGATAGCTGTGGTAATTCTTACCTTATAGGGTTATGACAATTAAACATAATGGCTATAAAGCATAGCAAAGTGCCTAGCACATAATAGGTGGTCAATAGATGTTAGTTGCTATTATTAGTAATGGTGTACCACCTCTCCTCTCCCTCATAATCTCAAGACATTGGGCACACTGAACTACTCCTTCCTTTGCCTTAAAAATAAAAACAAAATAAGCAATTGACCCAGTACTAGAATTATAGTTAAAATTGGGAAACCCTTTGAGTTCTTCTAGTCCATTAGCCTGTGCAGGCTCTACAGTGACAGGATTGAACCAGTGTTCCTTCTAGCTTTACAGTTTCATGATCTTATGTAGCATAATAGGAAAAGAAAAGGAAAAGTATATTGCAAAGAAATGGTGGCAAAAGTGCTGCTGAAGTTTATAAATGTGGTAGTGTGAATAAAAAGTAGTGGCTTCTTTGGTAAAGCTATCAAAAGAAATAACCAGCTCCATTCAAGCTTTGTTGTATGGGGAAGTGTTCTCATTTTAGCTTAGTTTCAGATCCATTGAAGTGGTTATGGTAAAACCTTAAGATGTGCAAGTTGGTATAGTTTGATGTTGCATCAACTGAAGAAGACATTCTTCTTGAGATCAAAAAAATAAAGATAATATCTTTATTAACCATGTTCCCCTCACCTCAAAAAAAGAAAAACATTTGAAAAGTGGTACAGAAGAGTTATAGGAAAAAGTAGAAACGAAGCATGTTTTCAAATTTAAGATAAAAGTTTTGATGAACCCTGTGTGTGTGTATATATATTTTTTAATTTTCAAATCTTTTTCTCTCCATTTCTCCAGTCTGTTCATTACCAACAGAGGTAAGTCCTTTTAAAATGATTTTCTCTTTTTAAAATTCTGCATTTGAGGTCATTCATTTTAGAGCTGGCTTGAGAACTTCTTTTTCTTATTTTTCGTTTTCTATCATTTGATAGTAGGGTTTCAACCTTTTATAGAGAACTTTGGTTTAGAATAATTTCATAGTCTTACAGATTGTTTTCTTTAAACTTTGAGTCACGTGGACATCTTTTGCACTTGGCTATACATTTTGGATTTTTCCATGGAACTCATAGTCAGCTAATAAAAGATGAGTCACTTTATAGCCAAAATTTAATGTCCAAGCAAAGGAGAGAAAGCACAAATTAAATTATGTATAAGACTTTCTATTAATAAGCTTGTAAGTCAGGTTCTGTGGGCAAGTCATGAAAATGAAACACCTATATGTCCAAAACAAGAAATAGACATGCTTGTTTTTGTCTCTTTGCTCCTTCTTCTAATGGTCTTTCTGTTTGATGGAGAAGAAATAAATTACTACAGTGAGGAGGGGCCTAATCCTTTTTAATTTCTAATTTCTTATGGGGTATTTCCTGGTTGAATCCAGATTTTCTGTGGATAAGAGGTCAGGTGAGAGTAGTTAGTTTTATCTTTCTTGATATAACAAGTATAGGGAATGATTTTTAATTAAAATGTATTGGTTGGGGGCTGGCCCAGTGGTGCAGAGGTTAAGTGCACACATTCTGCTTTCGTGGTCCCGGGTTCCCCGGTTCGAATCCTGGGTGCGGGCATGGCACTGCTTGGCAAGCCATGCTGTGGTAGGCATCCCACATATAAAGTAAGGGAAGAAGGGCACAGATGTTAGCTCAGGGCCAACCTTCCTCAGCAAAAAGCAGAGGATTGGCAGCAGATGTTAGCTCAGGGCTAATCTTCCTCAAAAAAAAAATTTTTTTTAATTAAAAATGTATTGGTTGAATGAAAATGTTCTGTTGTGACTCAATTTGTTCTTTTCCCTCCCACCAGTACTGTGAATATATGCCTGATGTTGCTAAATGTAGACAATGGTTAGAGAAGAATTTTCCAAATGAGTTTGCAAAACTTACTGTAGGTATGAACATCTTTTTCTTTCATCAAAGCTTGTATACCTGAAACAAATGTATATAAGGAATTATTTTAAAGATAGGAAAGTCTTCCTTTAGTAGGATATTATAGAATTATATTTATCTATATCTACTAACTTTAAAACTGTTTTCAGTTCTTGGGTTAAAATTACTTGTATAAAGTCACACACTGTTTCCTGTGTCTTATCTCCCTGAGACAGGATAGATCAAAGTATCGACGTTCTTACATAAAGAATAGTAAATGATTTAGGGGAAAATATATTTTCACTCATTCACTTAACATTTACTTGTGAGCCTAGTATATGCTCCACACTGTTTTGGATACTGAGGATAAAGCAGTAAACAAAAGATCCTTTGGGGATGGCCCAGCCCCATGGACTAGTGGTTAATTATGGCATGTTCCACTTCGGCGGCCTGGGTTCAGTTCCACTTGTTAGCGGCCATACTGTGGTGGCAACCCACATAGAAAAAAGAGGAAGATTGGCAACAGATCTTAGCTCAGGGTAAATCTTCCTCAGCAAAAAGAAAAAAAGATCCTCTGCGCCCAGAGCTTATCAAAGGAATGGGAGAGCGGTATGAGATGAACTTAGAGAAGTAATGGAGGACCACATCTTAGAGGCCAAGTCTTGGCTTTTACCCTGAGTGAGCTGAGGAGCTATCGATGGTTTGAGCTGAAGAGTGATAAGGTGTGACTTTTGTTTCCACGGCATCTCTGGCTGCTGTGTTGAGAATAGGCTGAAGAGGGGCATAGGCAGCCAAGAAGGGAGACCAGATAGGAGGCTCCTGCAGTTATCCAGTCAGGAGATGATGATGACCTGGACCAGAATGATAGCAGTGGAGGTGCTGAAAAGTGGTCAGATTCTGGATTTTTTTTTTTTTATTCTTCTCCCCAAAGCCCCCCAGTACATAGTTGTAGATTCTAGTTGTGAGTGCCTCTGGTTGTGCTATGTGGGATGGTGCCTCAGCATGGCCTGATGAGTGGTGCCATGTCTGGCGCCAGGCGAACTGGCGAAACCCTGGGCTGCTGAAGCAGAGTGCGCGAACTTAACCACTCGGCCACGGGGCCGGCCTCCAGATTCTGGATATATTTTGAAGATAGAGCTAACAGGATTTTATGATATGTTGCACGTGGGATGTGAGAAAAAGGGGCATCTAGGGCTTTAGCCCGAGCAACTAGAAGACGGGAGTTGCTGTTGCCAGAGGTAAGGAAGACTTTGGAGGATCAGAATTCCTCGATTTGCTAAAATTGATGGCTTCTTTTACAAGATTGCTAAAAATGAAGGCAGTCATAGGAAGAAGGGAAAGCCTTCTATACCCACTGTTACCCCACTATTTGCCGCTTTGATTTTTCAGATTGTTTCCATGAGGCAGGCACAACCCCTGAAACTTGAGAAGGCTGTTTCGGTAGTAGTAGCCATATGCTCTCTGTCAGTAGTTGGATGAGAACTCTCATGTCTGGTGTGACAGTCAGTGTACATGGTTGGCCCTGAACATGACCTGCTAGGACGTGATGTGACTTGAGGAGGGGCTGGGAAGCTCTTCATATTTGGGACCAGACTTCCTGTTAACAAGATTAGTATGTTTAGATGCTAAACACTTCTGCAGAGTCTGAGTGTTTTATGCTCCTTTCATGTGGCTGAAAAGATCCTAATCCTCACCTATCAGGCTTTGTTTTGTCTTCTGTTTCCATACACTTACCATAATGACTTCAGAATTAGCCTTGATAGGAATCTACAGTATAATCATTTGCTTTATAAACGTCATGCTCAATTGTTGGTAAAATGCCTTATTTGTGTATGAGATTGCTCAAAGGTGATTTTTTAATGTTAGTATTAAGTGGTGATAATGCTTTTGGATTTCGTTTTTACATTTAGAAAATTCACCCAAACAAGAAGCTGGAATTAGCGAGGGTCAAGGAACAGCAGGGGAGGAGGAAGAGAAGAAAAAACAAAAGAGAGGTGAGACCTAAATCTATTATTTGATCTACACAAACATACCTTCTCTCTGCTAGAAGAAATAAGTAATGAAAGCTTCCCCAAAGTCAGTAACCTCTACCTGTTATTGTAATGCCATGTGTATATCATACAGAGGGATACAGAATCGTGTTCCCAGGGTGGCTAGATGTTGTGTGATTTGGGCTTTATCAGTAAATTAGACCTAAGAAAACAAGCTTTATTTGCCATCTATATGCAGGTAAAAAGCAACGTGTATATGATTTGAAAACTTTGTTACCGTATTAAAATAAGCTTATAAATAGTTTCAGGACTTTGCAGCTTTTAAAAAAAATTCCCCCAAGATCCCGTCTCTTTCTTTGCCTTAATCCCTTGCCTTCCCTTCTTAGCCAGACTTCTTTAACAAGGCTACTCACTATCCCCCTTACCATTCTGTCGTTCACTCTTCTCTCCTCAGTCAGTCCTAACCTGACTTTCATGTCACTAAAACTCCTCTAATAAGGGTCACCAGTGACTGGGTAATTCCTAAATAGTAAGAGCATTGTACACTCTCTTCTTCTTGAAGTGTTGTGCTTGCTTGGTTTCTATGACGTTCTTCTTCCTCATTCTCCTGTCACTCCTCCTCAGTCTTCTGTGCAGACTTCTCTTCTCCCTTCTGTCCCTTCACAGTTGGTGTTTCCCAGGATTCTGTCTTCAGCCCTCTGACCTCTTCATTCTGCCTGTTCTTCCTGGATGATTCTTCCACATCCATGCTTCTGCCATCACTCTACTCTTATAATTCCCAAGTCTATAATGTCTCGTCCTGGCCTGTGTCTCTAGACTGGAAATGTGCATGGTTCCACAGTCACCTCAAATTCAGCACTTCCAAAATAAATTTACTAAGTCCCAAATCTGCACCTTTTGTGTTCCCTATTTTGGTTAATGATAGCACAGTTTATCCCGTCATCTGAGCCAGAAACCTGAGACCCATCCTAGGTTCTCTCTCTTGCTCCTTTGAATCAGTTCTAAATTCTGCTATTTCTCCTCCTTACTCTCTTTCTCCTATGCCTAGTGGCCATTACTGTTGCCACTGCTTTGTTTAGATTTGGATTAATTTCTGCCTGAACTGATGCAGGAGCCTCCTCAGTGGCCTCTCTGTCAGTCTTACTCTTTACAGACACACTCTCCACACTGTAGAGTGATCTTGATAACACATAAATCTGGTTATTTCACTCCTGCATAGTTGTTCAGTGTTTTGTCTTCTTCCTCAGTATAAAATAACAGAGCTTGAAGTACTAGTCCTTTAATGACTGGTATATAATCTTCTGCTTTTATGACTTCATCTGCTGCATATCCATAAGCCTCCTTCATCAAGACAAGTGTAGTTCTCAAATATAATGCCTTTTTCTATCTCTGTACTTGTTCCCTTTTCCTGGAATGTCCTTTCTTATGCCCTTCTCCCTTCACCTGGACAATTCCTTATTCTGCAAGAACTTAGATGCCACTTCCTCTAGGAGAACTTTTCTGTCCTCCAGAAGCAGAGTAAGCCATTCCTCAGCAAAGCTCTGTGAGTACCACATTCATGGATCCTATTATAGTATATATCAGGTTGCTATAACTATTTAACTTTTTTTGTCTCCTTTTACTAGACTGAGAGTCCTAGAGGGGAGGGACTATGTTCTGTCCTGTTCCTCTTTATGTCCTCATCCCTTTGTGCAGTGCTTGGCACCTATTAAAAATATTTATTGTCTGAATACTCATGCATCTGTTTATTAATTTTGTGTTAGGAAAAGAAACTTAAGAAATTAATATTTAGTACCTTTCGAAAATTAAATATAAAGTCAATATTCTCTGTGTTAAAAACAAAACAATTAATGCTGAGCTCTTTCTTAATAAATAAAGGTGGAAGGGGTCAAATAAAACAAAAAAAGAAGACTGTACCACAAAAGGTTACGATAGCCAAAATTCCCAGAGCAAAGAAGAAATATGTAACAAGAGTGTGTGGCCTTGCAACATTTGGTGAGTTGAAGCTTAAGTATGTTTAAAATGTGTAAAGTATATTCTATCTCTCTTTTTTAATCTATCATGAAAATTTCACAGGTATGTTTTGCATGAGATTTTGCATTTCTAACTATAGCTTCAAAATCAAATTTTGAAGAAATTTAAAAATCTTTTGCAGACAGAACTGGTTTAACTTTTTACTTTCAGGAATTCCTGCTTGGGCACATCTTATGTAGAATGAGGAGGGCTAGAAAGGATTCCCTTTGAGCCTGCGTATGCTGCTCCTCTCTCCCTGTATGCTTGGTGGCAGCAGGTTGCAAAACAGCTTCTCCCCTCTGGGAATGACAGTAGAGGGTGAAGGAAGGTGGGTAGTGGCAGATTGTCCTGCTTCAGAGCCCCTCAGTTCCTGGAGGCCTTGAGTCAATAGTGAAACTGAGTTGAAATTATAAACCAAGGTCCTTCATGTGACAACACATTCAAAAACAATCACTGGGCCACATTATAAATACTAGGTTTGTTTCTCTGCTGTAAATTTTTCTTTTGTGAAAAAGGATAAACAAAAGAATTTCTATGAGTTATGAACAGTAAGGATGATGCTATTTTTATGTACTGAGCTTTATTTGACCTTGAAAATGTAAGTTGAATTGTTAAGACCTCTGCCTGTGGTAGTTTGTTCTGAAAGTAGTAATGTGAAACCCATTAATGCAGTCTGTTTTATGAATTTAAAATGCAGATTAAATTTCAAAATGGGGAAAAATATCTTTGCCATATGACTCCAATTTTAGTCTTGCTTTTTTTTTTTAAATAACAGAAATTGATCTTAAAGAAGCACAAAGATTTTTTGCTCAGAAATTCTCCTGTGGTGCCTCAGTAACAGGAGAGGATGAAATCATCATTCAGGGAGACTTTACAGATGACATAATTGATGTCATTCAGGAAAAATGGCCAGAGGTAATTATATGGAACATGTGTATCTGGAGAAATAAGTTTTTAAAGCAAGTTGCTTTCGTATTATTTGCTACAAGAGCTCATGAAATGCAATTATTTGTGTTTTATAGGTGGATGATGATAGCATCGAAGATCTTGGAGAAGTGAAGAAGTGATTTTGAACATTTGTCTCTATTTAATGATCTGAACTGAGAGTTGATATGGCCAAAGGGAGAGAGGCCTTTTAAAAATATATATATTTATGCTACAGTAAAACTGTAGACTACCCTCGCCCTTGGCATTTTCACTGTTCTGTACAAGGCTGCTTGTTTTTTTTATTGCCAAAGTCTAATAAACAGGGGTGACTGTCATGCTTATGCATGAAATAGAATTTAGTCAAATAAAAATTTTTGGTCATTTGGTACTGACTTTTCTCTTTCTCTCTCTTTTTAACTTTTTATTTTTGGAAAAACACTGTAGACTTTTTGTGGAAAGCTTTTCTGTTGATTATTTTTAAATAATCATGATTTAATCAAATCATGATTTCAAGCTGAGTAATTTTTTAAAGAATTTGAATTTGGCTTCATCACCAGTAATAACTCTCCTTGCTTCTTTGGTGTGATAGTTTTGAGATGCTTGAGCATCTAATAGATTTTGTGGTTGAATTTGCTTCATTGTTACCAACCAAGTCCACTTTCTGGGCACATTAACATACTGGTGGTAGTTGTTCAAGTTATTCTGGAGATTATTTGGTAAAGTATATTAAAAGCCTTAAAGCCATCTGCACTGTTTGACCCAGTAAGCCACTTGTTTGACATTATCCTAAAGATATACTCAATCTTGCTTAAAACTATGGATGACAGTGTTCATGACGATGTTACTCATATCAGAAATTTGCAAATGATATAAATGAACAATTGGGAAATGGTTAAAGAAATGATGGTATATCATATGGTAGAATATTATGCATATATTTAAAAATATTTTCCAAGAATACTTGGAAACATGTCTGGTAATGTTAAGTAGGAGGCAGACCCCAAATCCATTTTACACATTATTATCATTGTTTTGAGTGGAAGGCTATTCAGAGAGGCTAAGAATTCTTATTGAGGCTATAAATTATGTGAGTAAAATTCTGCTAACCAAGTGAAAATAATATACCCCCATGTTCAATATATAGTCTGGGAAATAGCAATTGAAACATGTTTTTCTCACACTAGTGACAATTTTAATGAATGCACTAAATTAAATTTTGTTTGTAATAAAGGTCCTAGGTCAGGTGCTACAAATTGGAAAGAAGACTCATGGGATTTTAAAGTGCTATAGACACCTTTGAGAAATTTAGAACCCATTGTTTATTGCCCTGCAAATTACAATCTTGAATGAAAGAGTGGTTTTTTAAAAGTAATTAAAGTCTTAGAAAGAATGTGTAATAAAGATGTGAATTAAGAAAATGAAATTCTACATTAACTGAAGTTTACTAAATACGATTATCTGATGAAGCAAATTTATCCATTAAGACCATTTGGTATGTGTTATGTATGTATCCTGTTGGTGCTGGAAGATGTCTCTGTGCCTGTGTCAGCACACGTGACTTCGTGTAAAGATTCTTAATGTTCACAGTTCTTTGCAAATGCAGTTTCAATCCATATATAGGCAGCAGTGGATGTTACTGCAGGAAAATGCAGGATTAAAATTGTCCTTGTGTATAACGTGTGAATCTTTTTCTTTGACCTGAAACTTAAAATGCAGCATAGTTTAATCTCTGATGAAAAATGTATTGAAAGTTCAAAGGTTGACTTTAATTCATACATTCTCTTTATGTATTATGTAAATGTTTTCACAGTCTAGTATTTTTAGCAAAAAGAATACTAACCTTTAAATAGCCTTATCTCATAATATGTATAAGAGATTTGCCATAATCAAGCTGGCAACTTCAAATGCAAATACAGTTTTGGTATGTCGTATTTTATTTATTTTAAAAAAAATAGATGCTGATAATTGATTTTAAATTGTTTCTCAGTTATTACATAGATGCTTCAGTAGTTACTTAGTTATTACATGGATGCCTGTAGCTTAAGATATAATCCGTGGTATCTTTCTCACTCTTAGTTAAAAAGTTGGTAAATTATTATTTTAAAGAGGAATGCTACCTTGCAGATCATGTCTTTGTTATTCAGCCAGCCCTTGTGGTCTAGTGGTTAAGATTCAGTGCTCTCACCGCTGCAGCCCAGGTTCCGTTCTGGTCAGGGAGCCACACCACTGGGCTGTCAGTTGTCATACTGTGGCGCCTGCATGTTGCTGTGATGCTGAAAGCTATGCCATGGGTATGTCAAATACCAGCAGGGTCACTCATGGTAGGCAAATTTCAGTGGAGCTTCCAGACTAAGAGTAGGAAGAAGGACCTGGCCACCCACTTCCAGTTGTAAAAAATTGGCCATGAAAAATCTATGGATAGCAGCAAAGCATTGTCTGACATAGCACAGCAAAGTGAGAGGATAGAGTTCAGCTCTAACAGGGCTGCTAGGAGTCGACCTGACGGCACTATCAACAACTTTGTTATTTACTAAATTTCTTTACTTAGGAAGTAAGGTAGACCAGAATGAGTCTGTTTAGTTCATCATTTTGAAATAGAGTGTAAAATCAGAAGGAGTATAGTTCTTGTAGCTTTCATAAAACATCATCTTTTGTCATTTAAAGAAGTTATATCTTTGAAGTTTTTTGTTTTAAAGAAAACCTGCGGGAGTGAACTTAAAAATATTGAGGTTTCTGATTTGCAACTGGTCATAATCCTCTCACCACATTCAATTAATGTTTAACAATCAGGGGCCGGCCCAGTGGTGCAGCAGTTAAGTTTGCACATTCTGCTCCGGCGGCCCGGGGTTCACCAGTTTGGATCCCGGGTGCAGACGGGGCGCTGCTTGGCAAGCCATCCTGTGGTAGGCATCCCACATGTAAAGTAGAGGAAGATGGGCACAGATGTTAGCTCAGAGGCAGTCTTCCTCAGCAAAAAGAGGAGGATTGGCAGCAGATGTTAGCTCAGGGCTAATCTTCCTCAAAAAAAAAAAAAATTATAATCTCAAAATGAGCTTCATTTATTACTACTTTTTTTATTCCTACTTTTACAGTGAGTGTTAAGTATGTGGTTGCTTGGTGAACAACGGCATTTTAGGGCTTCCCAGAAAAATACCAAATCTTGCAATGTGAGATTTGAGAAGCGTGTGGATTAAAATGCTCCTCAATTGGGAAATTGACATTCAGCCACACTCATTTTCATCTTTCTCGTTCCACCAAGACTACTGCATAGCATCTACTGATAAGCTGTTTTTAACTAGTCAGAATTTGCTTTCTTGATTTTAAATTCTAAAACATTGTCGTCTTGGTTCTCCTAACCATAAGCCTATCCTAAGGAGGCAAGTGTCACCCAAATAAGTAAAGCTTCAAAGCAAGAAATTTTAATTGTGTTTTTCCATTTTGAGATTGTCTTTTAAGAACACAAAGGCATGTTTTGCTAATTCATAGTCAACCAAAAAGTAAAGTTGAAAGGCTGGTCATTTGTCTTCCCAGTAATACCATCTTAGGAGTTAAGCAGTTGGGCTTGGGCCGGCAGGAGTTAAATGTGATAAGTAGTAGTTTTCCTTAGTCCAGTTCCTGTATAATGTGAAGTGTAAATTGGAGAAGGGGTGACTGAAGCAACAGGTGAAAAAGCTTAGATTCAATCCAGAATGTGGTAAATTTTGTCACGATAAAGCGCCAAGGTTCTCATTGCTATTCAAGAGCTAAGTCGAGAGTCCAAAAAGAATTTTTTTCTCTTCGTCTGTGATTCTTAGTTTAGGGCTGCCTGCTAGGATGGCCAGCAGCTATTAGCTGCCAGGGCTGGCGTCTGCCTCCATCCGTTTACTCGTTTGAATGCCCAACACCGTCCCCAGTGCCAGGTAGACAGCGGCTAACGAGACCGAGCTCACAGTTCGGGAAGACGAAAAGAAGTGAGCAACTCAAATGCCACAAACCAGGGTGATGGGGACAGAAACAATTTAATCTGCTTCCCCATTCACCGGGTAACGGTAAAGACCGATTCTTTGAGGTCCGTGCGGAATGGGTTTTACAGTCTCAGTTCACTCCTGCGAGAGCTCCCAGGCCCCGATTCGGAGGAAGAATCGCCGGGAAGGCGGCGCCGGCCGCGCCCCCTCGGGCCGGGGAGGGAGCCGGCCTCCTCCCGCGCCGGGTCGCGCGGCCGCCGGGCTGTCGCGAGAGCCGGGGCGGCCCCTCGGCGACGCCGTAGGAGCGGGCCGGGCGCGCTCCGCCGGGCAGCGGTTTGGGCGGGCGAGCTCGGGGCCGACGGCGCGGGGCTCCGGGGCTCGGGGCTCGCCCCCGCCGCTCGGGACAGGCGCGCCGATGGCGTTTCTCAGGTGACGCTGCGCACAGCGGCTTTCTCCGGGGGCGGAGGAAGCACCTATGAACCTGTCGGCGACCTTCCTCGCCGGGCGCCAGGTGAGCGCCGCCGCGTCCCGGGGCTGGGGGCCCGCGGACCTCGGGGACAGCGTGCACTGGGGCCCAGCGTGGCTGGGTTTTAAGGAGCAGTTTCTGCCCCGAATCTAAAACGATGCACAGCACGCAGAGGAAAAACGGAGCGTCACATCCGTCTCCTTACCTTAGGGAAGACTGGGTTTCCGCCCCGGCGCAGACTGGCGGCGAGCCCCGCGTCTCACTTTTAACCCCAACGGGGGGCATCTGTAGGGCGGCTTTGGTATCCGCCGCCTCGCCTCCGCTCCTTAATTTACTTCACAGTAGCCAGCGAACGGAGGAGCGCTCACAGCTCCGTTTTACCAAAAACTCTTGAAAGGGAACTTGGGGCCGGCCCCGTGGCCGAGTTGTCGAGTTCCCGCGCTCCGCTTCGGCGGCCTGGGCATCACCGGTTCTGATCCCGGGATCGGACCTTAGCACCGCTCATCAAGCCATGCTGTGGCGGCGTCCCACATAGAGGAACTAGAAGGACCTACAGTTGGGATATACAACTATGTACTGGGGCTTTGGGGGGAAAAGAAAAACAGAGGAAGATTGGCAACAGATGTTAGCTCAGGGCCAATCTTCCTCTCCAAAAAAAAAGAAGAAAATGGCAAACTTTAGGAAAAAATAAAACAATCTTCAGACACCTCTAAAAAAGAAAAAAGAAACAGAAAGTGAACTTGCCCGATGTTTGCATTTCTCAGTATACAATGAAAGTGTTTTGTATACTTGACATATTGCTTGTTTTCCTATGCTAATGTATATGCTCCTTGCCGGCGTACTCGTTGCTGTATCCCCAGCCATTTGGTGTTGAGTAAATATTTGTTGAGTGAATGAATGAATGAGTGAATGAATGGCTTACCAAAGACCGGAATTCATGTCTAGTGACTTGGAATCCCTTGACTCCAAATTCCATTTTCTGTGTTTAAGTTACTAGTAAGTAACTGTAATTTATTCACCATTATCTATTTTTCAGAAAGCAGGAATGATGGACACGGGCCTCTGGTGAACTACTTGTCTTTAAGGTAGAATTCGTAAAGTAACACTTTTTAGTCTTTATTTTGTAGGTGGGGACAGTACCATATTTTGAAGTGTGACTTACACTCTTAATAGGTAATGTTTGTGGAGTGCTTTCAGAGCTTATCTTGCTTAATGCACACAACTCTAAGAAGTGAAAGTGCGGTTATTACCGTTTTACAGTGAGGAAACTAAAGCTTGGGGACACGAAGTAACTTGCCCCAGGTTAGAGAGCCACTAAGTGGCTGATTTTGCGTTCACACGAAGGTCAGACCAACTTCAATGCACTAGACTTTCAAATGATGGATGCTTAAAAGGAATTATTGTAGATAATTTTGTTAGGTATGAAAATGGCATCATGGTTGCATAAAAATGATCATTTTTAGAGATGCATACTGAAATATGTGAAGGTAAAATGTGTTTTTAATCAACAAAAAGAAAAAGGAAAATTGCAACGCATTTGGCAAAATCTTGATTATGGTCGGACCTAGGTCCCGAGCATATGGGAGCTTACAGTTCTATTCTGTGTATGTTTGAAATGTTTCCTTTAGAAAATTTGTTTTTAAATAGGTGTGTTGAGTTTGGACCAGTCACAATATTAAACTGTTCTTGGTGGCCTGAGTGTATGGGCATGTGTTAGATGTTATGAGAATTATTTACATTTAAACAGTAATTATTTCATGTTTCCCTTTACTCAATTACACCAGAATGGCTGGGGCAAGGTGAGGGTTCACAGCAAAGAAAAAAAAAGCAGAAATGGGTTTATTTGTGATGAGCTAATGGAGGTTTTACAACCAGTCCCGCTTTCTAAGAGTGTATGTGTGATATGACTGGAAATGATGGAGACAGGGTGCACAGTAGCTGTGAACTTGTTTTATTTGTTTATTTATTTATATTTTTTCCTGAGGAATATTAGCCCTGAGCTAACATCTGTTGCCCATCCTCCTCTTTTTTTGCTTGAGGAAGATTAGCCCTGAGCTAACACCCGTGCCACTCTTCCTCCACTTTATATGTGGGATGCTGCCACAGCATGGCTGATGACTGGTGTAGGTCTGCGCCCGGGATCTGAACATGTGAACCTGGGCCGCTGAAGCAGAACGCCCCGAACTTAACCACTACACCACAGGGCAGCCCCCAACTTGCTTTAAATATGCATAATTTTGATGCCATGTTATAAACGGTGAGTAAC